CTGAATGATGATAGATAGATGTTCACACAAGGCTGAATGATGATAGATTGATGTTCATACAAGGCTGAATGATGATAGATAGATGTTCATACAAGGCTGAATGATGATAGATAGATGTTCATACAAGGTTGAATGATGATAGATCGATGTTCATACAAGGCTGAATGATGATAGATTGATGTTCACACAAGGCTGAATGTAATAGATTGATGTTCATACAAGGCTGAATGATGATAGATTGATGTTCATGCAAGGCTGAATGATGAAAGATAGATGTTCACACAAGGCTGAATGATGATAGATTGATGTTCATACAAGGCTGAATAATGATAGATAGATGTTCATTCAAGGCTGAATGATGATAGATAGATGTTCACAAAAGGCTGAATGATGATAGGTTGATGTTGATACAAGGCTGAATGATGATAGATAGATGTTCACACAAGGCTGAATGATGATAGATAGATGTTTACACAAGGCTGAATGATGATAGATTGATGTTCATACAAGGCTGAATGATGATAGATTGATGTTCATACAAGGCTGAATGATGGTAGATAGATGTTCATACAAGGCTGAATGATGATAGATAGATGTTCATACAAGGCTGAATGATGATAGATTGATGTTCATACAAGGCTGAATGATGATAGATAGATGTTCATACAAGGCTGAATGATGATAGATTGATGTTCATACAAGGCTGAATAATGATAGATAGATGTTCATTCAAGGCTGAATGATGATAGATAGATGTTCACAAAAGGCTGAATGATGATAGGTTGATGTTGATACAAGGCTGAATGATGATAGATAGATGTTTACACAAGGCTGAATGATGATAGATTGATGTTCACACAAGGCTGAATGATGATAGATAGATGTTCATACAAGGCTGAATGATGATAGATTGATGTTCACACAAGGCTGAATGATGATAGATTGATGTTCATACAAGGCTGAATGATGATAGGTAGATGTTCATACAAGGTTGAATGATGATAGATTGATGTTCATACAAGGCTGAATGATGATAGATAGATGTTCATACAAGGCTGAATGATGATAGATTGATGTTCATACAAGGCTGAATGTAATAGATAGATGTTCACACAAGGCTGAATGATGATAGATTGATGTTCATACAAGGCTAAAAAAATGATAGATAGATGTTCATTCAAGGCTGAATGATGATAGATAGATGTTCACAAAAGGCTGAATGATGATAGGTTGATGTTGATACAAGGCTGAATGATGATAGATAGATGTTCACAGAAGGCTGAATGATGATAGATAGATGTTCATACAAGGCTGAATAATGATAGATAGATGTTCATTCAAGGCTGAATGATGATAGATAGATGTTCACAAAAGGCTGAATGATGATAGGTTGATGTTGATACAAGGCTGAATGATGATAGATAGATGTTCACACAAGGCTGAATGATGATAGATAGATGTTTACACAAGGCTGAATGATGATAGATTGATGTTCATACAAGGCTGAATGATGATAGATTGATGTTCATACAAGGCTGAATGATGGTAGATAGATGTTCATACAAGGCTGAATGATGATAGATAGATGTTCATACAAGGCTGAATGATGATAGATTGATGTTCATACAAGGCTGAATGATGATAGATAGATGTTCATACAAGGCTGAATGATGATAGATTGATGTTCATACAAGGCTGAATAATGATAGATAGATGTTCATTCAAGGCTGAATGATGATAGATAGATGTTCACAAAAGGCTGAATGATGATAGGTTGATGTTGATACAAGGCTGAATGATGATAGATAGATGTTTACACAAGGCTGAATGATGATAGATTGATGTTCACACAAGGCTGAATGATGATAGATAGATGTTCATACAAGGCTGAATGATGATAGATTGATGTTCACACAAGGCTGAATGATGATAGATTGATGTTCATACAAGGCTGAATGATGATAGGTAGATGTTCATACAAGGTTGAATGATGATAGATTGATGTTCATACAAGGCTGAATGATGATAGATAGATGTTCATACAAGGCTGAATGATGGTAGATAGATGTTCAGACAAGGCTGAATGATGATAGATAGATGTTCATACAAGGCTGAATGATGATAGATGTTCATACAAGGCTGAATGATGATAGATAGATGTTCATACAAGGCTGAATGATGATAGATAGATGTTCACACAAGGCTGAATGATGATAGATAGATGTTCACACAAGGCTGAATGATGATAGATGTTCATACAAGGCTGAATGATGATAGATTGATGTTCATACAAGGCTGAATGATGATAGATAGATGTTCATACAAGGCTGAATGATGATAGATAGATGTTCATACAAGGCTGAATGATGATAGATGTTCATACAAGGCTGAATGATGATAGATAGATGTTCACACAAGGCTGAATGATGATAGATAGATGTTCATACAAGGCAGAATGATGATAGATTGATGTTCACACAAGGCTGAATGATGATAGATAGATGTTCACACAAGGCTGAATGATGATAGACTGATGTTCATACAAGGCTGAATGATGATAGATTGATGTTCACACAAGGTTGAATGATGATAGATAGATGTTCAGACAAGGCTGAATGATGATAGATAGATGTTCAGACAAGTCTGAATGATGATAGATTGATGCTTATGCAATTGAAGGATGAAGTATGAAGGCTGATGAAGTACATATTAGAATAAATAGGATTAACAAGGCATGATAGTAAAACAATACAGTGATTGGCATGGACAAGTTGATTGGAAGCCAATATTAAGATGAGAGTGAGTGAGTATTGTTTTACACCACTTTTAGCCTTATTCCAGCACTATCACGGTAGGGGACACCACAAAGGGGCTTCACACATTGTACCAAAGTTGGGGAATTGAATTCGGTGTGACGAGCGAACGCTTTAACTATTGGCTACTCCATCGCCCATTTATGTTAGAAGGATTAAGATATATTTTTGAGAGGTCTTATTCACTGGGAATATTTTTTGTTATTTGAAAGATGCCATGTTTGCTTGGTTGGTTGGTTGGTTGTTTTACACCACACTAAGAAATATTCAAGCTATATGACGGCGGTCTGTAAATAATCGAGTCTGGACCAGACAATCCAGTGATTGATATCTATGACATGCATCAACCAAGTCAGCGAGTCTGACAACCCGATCCCGTTAGTCGCCTCTTACGACAAACATAGTCGCCTTTTACGGCAAGCATGGGTTGCTGAAGACCTATTCATAGTCGCCTTTTATGGCAAGCATGGGTTGCTGAAGACCTATTCTACCCCGGACCTTCACGGGTCAGCCATGTTTGCAGTGTTCATCAAGTTGATCTCATATGCACTATTTTGTGTATGGACTACTTTCATTGGCTTGAATAACAAAATGCAATAAAAAATAAATATTGCCCCATACCATTACACTTCCACAGCCAAATGGCGCATGCTGAAAAAACACAAGCATCAACTAACGCTCATGTGGCCGTGACTGGCTCACGCCATAGGTGGAATCTTGACTCAGCACAATGACGCAGTGGCTTAAAGTGGCTTAAGTTATATTCCCTGGCATGTAAAGGTTCGTTTCTGACAGGTGTGACATCCTGATTTCGATGTATACATGTTAAAACATAATGGTTTTCTCAGATGGGAAATTTCACTGGAAATGTTGCAGTCAAATGTGTGTCATTGTCACACTACTCCATGTTAATAGCTGTTTAAGAAAGTTGGGCTGGGCAAGCACTTTGAAGAAAATCAGCGGAAACCTTGGAAGATGAGTAAAGGAACATCATGCCACCACTGTTCGGGGCCTAACCATAATACGTATTGTGATGTTTTATTGTGCACTTGGTTCTATCAGCATTTGTTGGAAGACATCAAGTAAGGAAAGTGTGGCTGTTAGGCTGTGTCTCTGTTTGATGTGAGACGAAAACATGATCTCAATGCAATATTCATTAATTCTATGTTTTCAACAGTTTCATAAATGGTCAAGTTGACTGCAGATGATTTTGCCTAAAAGACACTTTATGATCATTATTATCTCCACCAGGATTGAGCTGGACCACTTAGGCTACCTGTGACATATAGATCCAGATGACATTAGCATGGTCAGATTGCTAACTTTTTAAAGTTTATATGTTGGCGTTTTTTTTAACAAAATAGTGCCGTGGTGCTGTTGCCAACAAAGAAGTAGACAACACTTTAAGATGTCAACGACTGCCACAAAATTTGCTTTCAGAACATTGATATTCAAATACATTCTGCTTATATTCAGAATGAAAGTTTTGACGTATGTAACAAGTATCAAATTAAAAAAATATGTTTTAATCTTCAACAATAAATGTATTACTGTACAACATTGTTGCCATCTAGATCAGTTAACTCTATGATATGTAATGTTTCAACTCTAGATTCTGTTTATGTAGCTACCATGACAACAAGGGGTATTGGTGCAATTATTCACAGACATATCACGATTTTCATAGTGTCCACATTCTGTTAAACAACCTAAACAAAGTAGAGAAAGATTGTTATTTTCTGTTACTTTAATGCAGAAGGAACTGACTTCAGTATTTCTTGCACTTATGGAGGGATAAACATAGAACCTTGTGTGCTCACTTTCCAGTAAGCAGTGTTTTAGGGTTGTACCTCCATAAACACAAACATATTGAAATCAGTTTTAATATTTAAATACATACACAAATAATAATTCACAGGCTGCTTATGGAATTATCAACATCACCAAAACAATGTTGACAATACGTTGAAGATGTTACGACTTGTAATACACCACAGTCCAACTAAATCCTTTACAGCTGTGATGTAACCATATGTCATCCTCATGTGATGGTTTGTGAGTTGCAGAGTGGGGGGATGGGGGAAGGTTGTATGTTATCCTTGTTGCATAGGGCCACACGTCTGACCTGAAGCTGACAGTTCAACACACAACTAGCATAAAACAGCGCAAAAGTCAACACACAAAAAATAAACTGAATTATTTATTCAACTTCTTTTTGTTTACAGAGCTCCCTGAATCAACAGGTTTGAAAATTGTGAATGATTTGGGTTCAACAGCGCTGGCTTTCTTCGATATTTCTTGCTCAATATTGTGTTGAATGTCCCTTTGTAGGCACTGAAACATACACCATGAACATGTCACTATTAGTTGTATGGGTGATTGTAAGAATAAATGTATATTTTGTGTCTGTTTCTTATAAGGCAACTCATTTATTATTTCTCAGTTTCCAGATTCAACCCAACCATCTGAGAGCCACTAAAATAAGATAAAAAGCTTTAACTTATTTATTTATTTTATTTTATATTTTTTTTTATTAATGCTGATAAATTAGAAGCAAAAAATTGCACAAAGGCATGGATGGTCAGCAGGTTCATTCAGGGTGCAATGAATGCATATACACACTGAAATCTACATGTGTCAAGAAAGGAGATGGAGTCCTTCAAGTGGCTATTACCTGACTGAAATGGGTCTGTTTGATGTTAGAGGACAGTATGATATCAATGTCACGTTCTTAAAAATCAAAACACATTTGTTATGGTTTCTGAAAAATCAGACAATAGTTATCATTATTAACAATTCAAAGAACTACCCCTATTACATCATTGCCTAAATCCTGTATTTTGGCTATCATTATACAATAAAAATCCTCTTAACTGTCAAATATTCATAAATAGTTATGCCACAAATAGTATGTCCCTTCCCTGGTGTCATCATTGGTGGGAATAAACAGGTCAATACAGAGGCTCACTTGACTTTGTCAGGTGAACTAAAAACTTAAGCTGTTTTTCACAATCATCATCAACATCATCAAAAAGATGGCATACAATGTTTTTATATACCTTTTTCCACTTTTTTTCCTCAAGAAGTTTTGTCTTCTTTGGTGCTATGTCAATTCTGCCTGAAATGTAATAAAAATACTTCATAATTGTATTCTGTACATACAGACATTAGGTCTCGGCCAGATGAAATATTGATTCATATTCAGATGGCTTTGGACAAATACTTCATTCTATTAATATTCTTTCAGGAAAAACCATGATAAGATAGTTCTGAAAATTAACAATTTAGACGACAGCTCATAATAATGTACCTGCATATTTAAATAATTATGAAGCAATCAGATGGAAGCAAATCACACTATAATACATATGTAACATATGATTAATATACTATTTTTAACAACAAAATGATTTTAAAAAGTTTATATAGATTCCCTCATAAGAGGTGAGGTGAGGTGAAATTGGGCTTACGTCGCGTTCCCCCTCATAAGCAGGAACTTGCATGTGAAATTTAATTTCATTAGTCAAGCAGATTCAGAGAAGATATTTAAGAGCATGGTAGACATGCACAGGTTAGAGTTAAAGGGGGTTACAGTAAAGAATGAGTCAATAAGGTAAGAACTGAAAACAGTCACTTGAAATCACAAGTATGCATGAAGGACAGAGTATTTAATCATTTGTTTGGTGATTTGGTGGCAGATAAGTGTTGGAGGAAATGCAATAACGATAACGTGAATCATAGTTAGGAACAAGGAAGGCACATGTGGCGCTTTTGATGCCACGAGGGAGAGTTGGCTTTGTAATCTTATCTGAGCAAATGTAATGAGTGAATTAGGCTTGGGTCCCATGACTCTTTACTTCCGCCAATATATTCAACACCAAACAAATTGATCGTGTTAAGACAAGAGCATTTATTCGCACATTCCCATGCTTCATAATGCACGAGAAGAGGGTACAATGCCCTTAGAACCCCTACACAGATCTTATTCATCTTTGCCATTACAAAACTGCTTGATTCAGTGTTAAGATGTGTGCAGACAGCAATATCAATAAATGAACATCTTATGAACCGCTTTTCTGTGCAGGGGGGGGGGCAGTCAATCAGCAACAGCAATGTCCGGCATCGAGTGACCATTCCTGTCGGCAGGCAGTGAGAGAGTGAAGTATGTGGGAAGTCCAGGTATCACTGCAGTAATACAACTTAAGTGAAGTTAAAGAACTAGAACTGACATACCAAGTTAATGCGTGCAGCACGTAACTGGGCGAGGACGGTGTCCATGCGCAAGAAGCAGCCCTCCAGAATGGTGTGAATGAAGTATCACAGTGCACACACCGGACATACAAGTACCTGTACATCTTCAGCCCCAACTAAAGAAGAGAGGGGTGGGAAGGTGAAGGATCTTGGTTGATTCTTGGCTATGAAGTCCCATGACAGCCCAAGATGAATGGCTCCATGCGCTCCGTGATCATATCTAAAACAGGAGATGTCCAGAACATGTTTCTTGCTCATCCACGCCACCTCTCAGCAGGGTAAGTGCCAAGTTTAAGGTCCCATGCCGATGGACTGAACATGATCTCCTGGTCTACTAGACGAAAAAGAGCCTAACAACACTCTGGGCTCAGGAATCTTGGTCATCTTTCAATCTTCCGGAACGGTCAAGACGGACATGATGGTGCTGCCCTTCAGACAACGATTGTGGCAGAGAGAAAAAAGAATTCACCCAAGAACTCATACAATGCAGAAGTGGGGTCCTGGTGTTTCTCATTGCAAACCCTCAAAGGAGCGCCACTTAGCATCATAAAGGCCCCAGGTAGAAGGTCTGTGCGACAAGGGGAGGGCCTCCACTGCCCTTCCTTAGTAACCCTTGGCGCTGAGGGCTCTTCGTAGATGAAACAAGAGTTAAGATGTGATCCATCTGGAGACAGGTGTGGCCAGTTGCTGTGAGGATGGATCAGCAGGTTTGGCCAATCTGGTAGCTTGAGGTGGTCCCTGAGATCCACGAACCAGCCCCTCGCAGGCCACCAAGGCTTTACCAAAGTCAGAGGTCTTTGAAGGACTCTGCTAAGGAGTGGAAAAGCTTATGCTCTTAGCCCTTACTACGGGCCCCTGAATGCATCCACCTCCAAAGTCTGCGGGTCTGGGATCCGGGGAGACAAAATGTGCAAACTGGGAGTTCTGGCAAGTGGTAACAAAGGTCATGGCGGGATGACCTAAGCGCTGCCACATGAGATGAAAAACCCTCATGAGGAAGTTTCCATTCTGAGTTAGCTGAGAGCATGACTTTTTGAGCAAATGAGTCTTTACTATAGGGTTTTCTATTTTAATTGGGTTTTTCGGAATGTAAATTAGCTCATAATTGTGTTTCGGAAATTAGCTCCGTTGTACTCATGCCGAAAAAGCTTTATTGGGTATTTATGTGTGCTGTACATTTGAGTTTTTCCTTCAATGCACTCGTTTTTGTACGCATGATAATTGAAAGTAATTGGGTTTTAAATATTTTGGGGGAGTATTTTATGGAAATACGCAGCTTATCTGTAGCTCTGCTTACCACTGACAAAGTGTAAACGTCTGTTGAAGAGGTAGCAGACGTTAGATGAGGATGTCTATAAGACTGTGAACTATTAAAGTCAACATCAGGGGGGTCTTCGATCGTGTCATTCCTTGACAAGACGTGGAAAAGTGTTCGTATGCGAACTAATGCCAAACCCCATGTAGTTGAAATATACCATCATGGGAAGAATTATAGAATCGATGCTGTATCTAGTAGATAAAGCTGAATAGATATAATTTCTTGGGCTGAAAGATTGTACCGTACGAAGTAAGGTGATCGTTTCCATCCCCTGAGCGTTGTAAAAGCATTCCCGTTCTTATATCGAGGTGACGATGAAGCGTGGTGCCTCTCGACTACGCGTCTTGGCATCAGAGGTCTACTGACGTTAGTGACTTAATCCTATTGATGTACTACGACAGGCGCCTGGTCGAGTGGTTGCAGGATCAAGTACAAGTAAGCATGCAAACCAATCCGTAAAAATACACTGCATGGCTCCCAGTAGGTTAGCTGACCTAATTCCTGTCGGAGTTACAGTCAGAGAGTTCTCCATCAGCCACAGAGTGAACCAGGAGATCATCTCTCCTAAAGCGAGAAGTTTTAAATGACAGGGTTAAGGAGAGCCTCGCAAAATCCTCGTTCAGTTCCATTATGAGAATGGACTACATAGGGTCTGGAAGTAAGGGCGTTGGGAAGGACCAGATTTGATCCCTTATCCATGTCTGGGCCCAGAGATGGCGCAACAGACGCCAAGAGATCAGCCATCCAGTTGCCAACTTGATTCAGACCAAGATGTCTTTTAGTTTAGAAGGTTTCCTCTGGGGAATCCGAACGATGGTCACGATCCCAATGACGTATGGGTGAGCGGCAACGAGAATGAGCTGCGTCAGGATATAGCAGGAGAGGACGAGGCATGAGAATCTATCACAGATTGTCTTTCTGTCAGAAACAGCAGTAAATGCATTAAGGAGTAATGCGGGATAAGTTAAAAAATGTACTATATGTATATTACAGTGATCGCTCGCTATTGCGCTCTTCGATAAAGCGCTACCTCGGTTACTACGCGCGGTAACGCATGGCTCCCAAAATTTATGTACACTTTTATTACTGAGAGTTTTACACAGACATAATTGTATTGTTGTTCGTTGTTCATTTGCACATAACGCTTCTCATTGCATAATCAACCGTTTATCGCTGAATGGAGTTCTAATAATCTGTTTGAAAACATCCGCGGCAAGTCCCGGAAATACGATTGTTCAACTAGTTAACTTTTCACACTATACATCCTTTGATCTTAGAAGCGCATGCATGCAATAAAAGAGAACCACAAGCGAAGTTTATATTCTTAATTAGTGGGCAATCCAATTTAAGGCTAAACTGTCACACACATGTAGTTGCTGTCACAACACGGCGGTCATTCATTTCGTAATCGCGCTTTCGTAACATCGCCTGTTTTTTCCCCGTAGTTTTCAAGCGATTTCATTGGATTAAAATTTGTTTCTAATGACGCTTTCTTGCCGAAATCTGCTACAAGTTTCGTGATTGGTCAATTTTGAGCACGTGACCTCAGGCAGCCAATCAAGCTGTGATACCAAGCTCGTGTTTGATAAATTTCAGAAGTTAGCGAAAGATTTTTTGTTAAATCGTGTTATTCTCAACGTTTTAAGCAGGAAATCACGATATATATTAAAAATATGGAACTTCGCGAATGTATCGTGCTAGGTTACGAGCTGTGACAAAGATTTTTCATGCATATATTTTTGCATTAAACGTTGTGTCCGAGCCGAGAATTCAAGGCGACGAAAGCCGAGATGTCATTTGACTTACATTACACGCGATCGCACGAAACGATGGAAATAATAACTTAGATGTAAGTTTGATTGCTTTTAGATATATTTTTGTTGATTTTATTTATCACTTTGTATAATATATTTAAAGATTTGCTTAAAATAGTCTTTATTTTGCTCTTTGACATTTTCGATGCGGACCCGTTGTCGAAATGTGTGTCCGAGAATTTTAATTTCAATAACATCGCGGGAAATAGTGAATAATTTTTTTAATTTATTGATAAAAAATGATAAATTAGAATGGAATACGTATTTCAGACATTGTGAAATATGACAGATTTAATAAATGAATGATATTACAGGTAGATCTAGGTCCATAAAAATATATACTATTTTGACGTGACGTGAGATAAACACATAGGCCAATTGATGATTTGAGATTTGCCGAGCGCGCTCCCCCGCCTCGGCCTCGGTTAAACGGCTCATCGTCTATAACGCCCACCAATTATTTGGACCCCATTGGTAGCGCAATAGCGAGCGATCACTGTAGTTTGCTACTAATAATACTGTTAGCCTCATGAATTAACTCAAAAAAATAATGTTGAAAATAACAACCTTTTCAAAAACTGGAGCTTTCTATAAAGTTCACCGCCATAGGCTAAATTTGACACCTAATATTGAAAACTCGAAACATCGCTGGGCTTATTCAATAACATTATGTGCAGAGATGACAGATCACCGAGAGGTGCTTGGGCGCATCGAAACAAATGAAAAACACCAGTG